TATCTTCTCAAATAGGTTAGTGCGTTTAGGATAAACAGTCTCATTTCATTCAATTTTGTTGAAGAACTCAACTTTTGAAATATATTATTAATCAATGTGTTTCTACACTCCATTCGGTTTTCCTTCCTCAAAAATATTGCAATCAGGGATAGGTTGGTTCGTTGAGGATAAATAGTCTCTGAGTTTTGCCTAAGTAAAGTACTTTGAAGATGAGATATAACGTGGTATGTGCTACTTTTTCAATCGATTTATTTATATGAATCAGCTACGTTGTGCTGTCAAAGATTAGATTTTGCAGGATTGTGCTGGGCTCGATTATATTTTGCAATGCCGTAGTAGGGGGCGTGTCTTGTGCTGCAATAGTTTATATTTAGTAAAATCGCGTCTAGGAGCCGCCTGAGAGTCAGGCCACGTGCATCGTGCATCAGCTGGGATGTTTTGCGAACCCTTCGCAGAAGGTGGGTGATGTTTTCAACGATTCATTTTGTCGATGAGAACTTTTGTACCACGTTTCTTTGACGAGCTTGGAGCTAAGGGATATAATTATCTTCTCAAATGCTAGGGTGCTCAGAAAAGCTCAGGGCACAAGTGGCTGTCTGACTATAACATTGAGATTGATTGAAATCATTCACACTGGAGTGAGTCGAAATTATCAAATGACTGCATGAACAATTAACTTTGGCAGCATCTATTAAAATTCACATACTACCGAATGGAAGATACTGCTAAGTCAATATGTTTATACTATATGGAGTAGTCACTCCATGTGCCACAAGAAAAATGATATGTATATGTATGTATGAATGTGTGTGGGCGGTCCGGGACCTGACGCACTTAGGTCTCCCTTTTCGGGCCCTGTTGTGCACCCACATTCCAGGGATCGCAAAAGTCAGCCATGGTGAAGGCCGACCTCGCGAGCAAAAGAGACCAACTTTCTAGGCCAAATCTTTTTAACATGCTCTGGGTCCAGGATACTGCTCCCAAAAGGGATATCCCTTGCTGCATTCAGTGAGGATGTGAGTAGAAGTATATATGTATATATTCACTATGAAAAGATTGGTTCAAATGCACCAAAAAAATCAATCATTCAGTTCATATCTCAAAATATTAATGGAAGAGATATATTATAATGTGATGCATATAAGTGGTCATGAGCTATACAAGGTGTTTTTGAAATGAGTGCACATATTCAGCACATTAATATTGTTACGTTATTCTGGTACAGAAGCGAACACGACACTATTTATTCTCGAACTCGATAGTACACGTCGAGCTTTCTCAGTAATCAAAATATTTGCACTTATTTCAATGTCACGATGAGAAAAAAAAGACTTGTTCCTTTCTGAAATTATGATAGGGACTGCTGCTAGTTCAAAACTGCGTTGAATGTCCGGATTCTTCATAAAAGAATCAATAAATACACAAATTGAAGTTATGCGAATCATATACAGGACGTCCTGAGTATATACAATGTCCAAATGTTTTAGAAGAGAAAAGGTAATATAAATATATGAATTGTCACTGTTAATTAAACAAACAACCTTCTTTGTATTCTTGATCCATTCTAAATGAGTTGAATACAATGAAGGAGCTTTATTTCAGAACTCACACTGCCCTGTAGACAGGTTAGATACATCTTCATTTTAGGAAATTAGGCACGATATCTGCATTGAAATATGGTGTACCGGATTAACTTGAAATAGTTGATTGCAAATACATATTATATTACCTACTACGAAAACAAACTCAACAGTGGTGAACTATTGAGGTCTATTTAATCGTTCAGTAATATGTCAGAATTTGTGAGTTTGTTGATTCCTGATGATTCAAAATGATTGAGTCTTATTCCGTTATTTTCTACGTGTTGAATTTCGAGATTATCATCAAAGCTATATGGTTTCCTCCTAACATATGGTTGGCGTATGTTGAATTTGTTTTCTTTCTCACAAATTCGAAAAATCACGGGTATTTAAAACTCAACTGTGAATTTTGTTCATGGGTATATATGCATTTTTGAAGAAGGAGACAAATTCAACATACGGCAACCATATATTAGAAGAGAACCATAGTTTTGATGATAATTTCGAAATTCTTCACGGAGAAAATAAAGGGATGAAACTCAATCATTTTGAATCATCAGAAATCAACAAACTCGAAAAATCTGACATCTTACTTAACGATCAATTAGACCTCGATAGTTCACCACTGTTGAATTTGTGTAATAATATGTATTTGCCAACAACCCTCTCAAGTTATTCCGGTGCACTGTATTTTATCGGAAATATTGTGCCTAATTTCCGAGAATGAAGGTTTATCAAACCTGTTCCCAGGGGCCAAGCCGAAGACAAGAATCTCACTGAGCTTAGGCAAATACGCGACGGTGTTTCAGGCAGAAATTATTGCAATATATCATTGCGTGAAAGAATTGATAAGGCAAGAGTTTAAAGGCAAAACCATTGCGATCTATTCAGATTACCAGGCGGCAATCAAAGCAGTCAACTCTATGCAAGTTAACTCAAAACTAGTATGGGACTGCTTAGAAACCCTAAATGCACTGGGCAGTCAGAACAGATTGACTCTAGCATGGGTACCAGCACATACAGGGTACGAGGGCAATGAAGAGGCAGACTCACTTGCCCGAGCAGGAGCAAACAAAGCTCTTAATGGCCCAGAACCCTTTTGTGGTATCGCGAAAGCTTTACAAAAGACTAGTGTCAAATCTTGGATGCAAACCAAATCTCAAGAATGGTGGAACAACTCGCCAGGAATGAGACATGCAAAAGAGTTTATCAAAAAATCATCGCCAACATTCACAGAATATCTACTGAGCCAGAAACGAAGTTTAACTAGAATACTAGTGGGACTTCTCACAGGGCATTGTAGGTTCAACAAACACATGAGTACGATAGGTCTGACTGAAGAACTGCTGTGCAGGTTCTGTCAAGAAGAGGAAGAAACAGCAGATCACATACTTTGCCACTGTGAGGGCTTGTCAAGACTAAGGTTTCTTACGCTGGGTGAGGAAAAACCAGGAGCCCAGAGATACACAGGAGATCTAAAAGCTAGCCTATGGAGTCTCATAGAGAAGGCGGGGCTAGCCGAAGAACTCTAATAGATTATGAGGGCAGACACGATAGATCTGAGAAGGTCGCAGTGTGGAGGCAGATAGCCTGAAGGCCCCATTTCAAATCTAATCTGATCTAAACCTGTCCCCAGGTATATATTCCTTTAGGTTGGAGAAGCAGGATATATAAAAGTCAAGCAAGCCAAAGTTAGTTTAGTTCAATGTACCAGTATATCATCTATAACGAAGCTACTGTGTTAGCGAAACATGTCGTGTGTTTGAGAATCTTGTGAAAATCTTATCATTTGTGAAGTTCCTACATTTGACATGGATTTCTATCAAGTAACGGCCGAGTCAATTGGAAACAAAAATTGATTATTTTCCATATAGGTATCATTTTTCTCATCACAATGAGAAACAAGTTACGGAAACATTTATCTTGGATAATTTTGTTCCGTATGCATATTCGTTTCTTTCAAATTTTGGTTGTTCTATTTAGAAGCATATACAGGGTGATTCATTAAGAATTTGAAATCTCTGAACTGCAGATAGTAAACACAAAAATAATGAGGTGTAGCCCCGTGTGCCTGATGAGAATGTTGCTGGTTTATGAGATACATCAGGGTTTTCTAGGGGGAGATTTCATTTCAAAACACGATAACCTTGTGAGTGTCAACAGCATGAACATGTAATTTTGTATTCCTTGGTTTTTTGACACGAGGAATATGAATCAGCAACTTATTTCATGATTGCTCATAGGGGGCGCTAGTGGCACTCGGTTACTTCTATAATTTACATCCTATATATTCTATGGCAATTCATTGATGATCAAAATAATAATAATAATAATAATAATAATAATAATAATGTCTTTATTCAATGAAGAAAAGGCGGAATCCAGTCACCTCTTTCCAAGGAGAAAGGCAACTGCTCTTCCATATGAGTACAGAATCTGAAAATGAAAATGTACTATATCTATCAATCTGTCTATCTACAACCATTTTTGTGTTATTCGCTCTGGAAGAGATTTGTGTTCCAATTATAACATTTTAATTATTCTATTTATATAATTGAGAATGAGACATCTCTGAATTACAGATAGTTTATACCCAATCATGGAAATTCAGCCCAACAGTCCACTTAGAGATATTGCTGGTTTGAGAGATACAGGGTGGTTAAGGAGAAGATATCTCCTCCTCAATCACCCTGTATCTCCTAAACCAGCAAAATATTCATGCTGTTAAAACTAACAAAGTTATTGTGAAATTATGAAATGAAATCATTCCCTAAAACACCCTGTATCTCCTGAACCAGCAACAGTCTCATTAGGCAGATCGGGCTGAATCTCATCATTTTTGTGTGTACTATCTGTAGTTCAGCGATTTCCCATTCTTAATGAGTATAGGTGACTGAGATGCTGAGCCACATAATCCATCAATCAATGGACGATTTTCATTACCTTAATGGTTGAATAATAAAATGGTTCCCCTGAATATCATGAAGCACTCGTTCTATGAACGATCTTGGGAGTAATCTGGATCATGTTTTATAATAATAATCATATAATTCCACAGATCTAACAAAGTGACTAGCAAACAGTTACTCGAAGGCTAACACTTTGTTGAAAGGTGCGCTGTTTCAATAGTTGAATCAACCAACAAATTATATCTGAGAATCTATTTCAGAATGGGATTCTCGATTCATTCTTGAAAATTTTTGTTCAGATATTCAATAATCCCTTCTCTGGATGTATTGATCACTGTTTGTCACAGTTGATGAACTCTTCTGATGATAAAGTAACAATTCATTCTCTCGTTAATAACAAAGATAACAATGATTTCTCCTTATTTTTCATTCATTTTTCTATAATTCTCAGAATGAGACTTGCTTCTCCTTGTTAACAGATAACACATTCTGATAATAGCTGCGTACAAGTCAACATTATGCACTCAATGCAGTTATTCAAATAATATCAGATGAAACAGATGTTATTGAGATTTTGTTCGTGTAGTTATGGACGCTAGTGTCAAACATGAGAATCAATCTCCAGAACCAGCAGCTTCTTTTATATCAAAATTATTCTTCTGGTGAGTAGTGGATTTTTATACTCAGTGAACAATCATCAAAATACCAATAGATAAAAAACTATAATGATAATTTCTGAAATTCAGCAGTGACGTAGATAAAAACTCCAAAAATTGCACCGCAAAAGAAATTGTTTAATTGTTTCGCTCAGACATTTCATATTTGCAACAAAATTCGTTTTCCAATTAAATCCGAGTATATTTAGATATTTAGAACAGGATTCTTTACATTTTACCTTAATCGTCTTGAACCTGAGTTGGAAGTATTTCCATAATTCTGATCACGAAGAAATCGGAATCTTCTGAATAGATTTTTGAGAGATCCTTACTGATATCAACCTTAATTTTACTTGATTATTTTGAATTTTTCCTTGTTTCCAAATTCTTGATTATGGAATCAGACGGAGAAGGAATGCCTTCTCTCTAAAATGCCTGAGGACAGTTCTACTCCTGTCAGTATATTCATCAAAAGACCTCAGTCAATTATCCCAAAAAGCAAGAACTGGGAGCAGATAGGACGAGGCCTGATTACTACTACTGAAATCATCTGGTACACAGATGAATTTAGAGTGGGTGAATCAGCAGGAGCTGGGGTATAAGGGCCATCTTCGAACGCTGGATACAGTTACGTCTTCGAGAATAATTTTGCCACAGTATTTCAGGCAGAGGTTCTTTTCATACTCGTCTGTGTTGAAGAAAATATTAACAGAGGCTACCATTACCAGCCAATCAGGATTTTCTCCGACAGTCAGGGGGCGATCAAGGCCCCCTCATCATACAGGGCCAGTTCGCTGTTGGTGTCGGAGTGCATTGATGAGCTGCAAAGGTTATCCACTACAAGGTGAAACTTCTTCGAGTCCCCAGTCATACCAGATCACCTGGAAATGATAGGGCCAACTACCTATCTAGACAAAGAGGAAATTGCTCAGCAATTGGATCGGAACCAATATTAGGTGTTTATTGATCCTGAAGCGTCTCCTCTATAATGAGGATCCTGGAAGCAAGATTCCAGGATGCTTGAAGAGAGACTCCTGGCAAGAGACATTCTAAACTTCGCATCGACGGCCATTTCATCTTTATATTATTCACATTCAGCATGGAAGGAATCAGAATATCAGTAGGACACTTCACGGGGCACCTGAACAGGAACCTCAACATTATGGGTATCACTGATGATGCTAAAACTAGATGGTGCCTGATGGATAAGTAGTCAGCTACTCACGCCTTTACGGAATGCCTAGCAGTAGCAGCAATACGGGAAGCGCATCCTGGAACATAGTTTTGAACCCAAAGAGTAGGAGAAGAGTAACGTCTAGAAGGCTGGCCTTTTTCGCTCGCGAAATCGGCTACTTTCATGAATGAATCAATTCCCATCAGAGGTGGGTGCATAACGGCCCCGAATAAAAGGTCTACTTGCTGAAGGATCTGTCTGCCTACGATGTCAAAGTGTCAATGTCATTCAAATTCAAGTGACCTTAATCTATTTCTCCGATATGATTGATATCGACATCTTCTGAGCCCTGCCCAATCAATAATATTGGCCTCTCCGATGGTGCTCCTCATCAACAATAGTTCTGATGTTCCGATTGAATATCATCCAAAAATTTTAACTTATTCACCAATATTCTTGTTCGTTTATATCTCACTGTTTTGTAGGCCAATATTTTCTTCAGCACGGGTTATGCGGTACAATGATGCATTCTCAGACCATTCCGGATCTCTCTTCGTTCGAATGACTGCTAATAACTTGAGAGTATCAACTATGTGAGGGATACGCTTACATCAGACGAAGAAGAAAATATATCTTCGTGTCTCAGAGAGACCAAGATCTTCTCATGAGAAACGGGAATTTCGATTCCATGGTTCATAATAAAAGCACTTAGAACTGAGTTAATGATCTAATTCTTTAAGAATTATTGCAAATTACATATGATTCAGATAATTGATTGAAAACATGTTAATATATAATTTGATTCGAATACATTCGAACACAAGCAATGAGTCGAATGAAAACAGTCTTTTTCTACTCACATTACTGAAATGGCATTCAGCGTACGGATATGTACCATGTTGAATAATAGATTGACCATCTGTGATTTATTCAAAATATTAAACACGTTACCATGGCAACACGATTTCTTGAACACATTACCATGGCAACACAGTTCATTAAACACAGCTTTAGTAAGTAGTAAATTCATAAACTGTCACTGTTATTTTCAAATCTTGTATCAGAATTATTCAAACAATATTCGTTTGTATCAGAGTTCTTCATCAAAAGTTTATGCGACATGTAGACGATAGTGAAATCGAAGAGAATGTTCTGGTTCTTGCATAACTCTAAGAAGTATAAAAATGAAGCATCCATCTTTGACAACAATTCATTTATTCTGCGCTTAGCATGACAATAACTGTGAAATAAAGGTTAGTAAGCAATGGACTGGACACATCTACAACTAATATCACTTATACGTGTCTCGCTGGTTGCATGCAGTTGCATGTATTATGTTCTCAATTTCCATTCCTCCCGAAATATTTTGTGAGTTAGCAGAAATAGCAGGTATGTTAATGTGATTTTCAGAGTTCGTATAGAAAAAGCACAGTAGGTATGTAACGCGTTCATAAACTCTGCTAGACACTCGTTCATTAAACACTCGCTTCGCTCTGCTACGCTCGTGCTTAAAATAATCGTTACTGAAAGGACGTTCATAAGACTTGTTACATGATATACTTTCATTCACAATGTTGAATAATGCTCTTGAATGTTCCAGAGGGCTCTCAGATGTATGATGTTTTGAATGTTATTTTGTGTTCACCCAATGTCAGTGTCAATTTTGATCACCAAATTCATTGAAATTCCTTGATATGTTGCAAAGCAACACACATTTTTTGTTTAGGCAGATGATGTAAACTTTTTCTGCCGGTGATGTGTCAGAGAAGATCTACCTTTCCTGCCGCTTGGAGAAAAAGACTATTACTCCTGGCAGTTTCAATATCCTTGATATGAAGAATTATTGTTTTTGTAGACTTCGTCAAATATTTGATTCTGAATACTTATAAAATATGGTAGGTCAACAGTTATAAATATGTTGTTGGTGCATCAGTGCGTTATCATTATCATCATTATATTGAATGCATTAAATCCAAATGAGTTTGATGTCATTAATTTCATGATCAAAACATAACTTATCTTCCTCGGATTTGCAATGGAACAATCACTTCAATTGTTCAAATTCTTGATCAAATAACTACGAAGTATAATAAGGTACCTTGTAAATTATCTTATCTACTATCATGATATCCAAAATTGGAATAATCAACGTTAATCGATTTGAATTTTCAAAAATTGTCGAATAAATCAATGGCGGTAGTTGAGAAGCTGAAACTATCATGTAACATCATAAAGTTTTCACCTGAAGTTTGTTACCCTCCAGTTATTTCAACAACTTGCGAAAGCTGTAGAGCCGTTTCATTAACATCAGAATCTGTTATATAATAATGTGAATGAAGATAACGCATGAAAAATAAATCATTACATCAACGACCTCTGTAGAAAATTAGCAAGAACACACAGTACACATAGCCTGAAAGAGTAGTACAGCACGCACAGTGAGCAAAACGAATATAGTTTGAATAATATGCTATTCGATATTATAATGAAAAACAAGATATGAATATAATAATACGATCTCAAGAAATGAAGATACAACAATGACATATGATTGGACACATCTCAATGCTTCCCATATATTCATCAAAGTTGTGAAATATAAGTATATACAGTATGGAAAGAGAAAATGTTCTCAGATTGATTATGAACATGAAAAAATGGAAATAAATATAAAAAAATATATTGAGAATTCGCATTCTCTATGTGATGAAAATATCAATTCTTCCTCATTTGGTTCAACAGGAAACAACAACTTGTCTGGATATACGCCACGACGAACATTGAATTATATCTATTGAACACACACGATCAGAATTCGAAAAGAAAATCTTCTGGAGTTGAGGATTTGCATTTTCCTTCAGATTGAAATATAAATATACACATAATATCATTCTGAATATTCAAGAGAACACAACTACTTACCTGGCTATTTGGCACGTCGAACATTGAATTATATCTGTTGAACATCGAAAAGGAGAGCATGAAAACTAAAAATCTTCTGGAATTATAAGGGTTGACATTCTCTCTCAAATCAGATGAATAATTTGATGTATCAGTATATACCTCACCAATATGTTCAGTATTGAAAATGAAGATGTATAGAAGTAAACTTGTATAAACTTGGATCTTGATGAGATTGAAACTGGAAAAAAATCATTCGTATTTATGATATTATGGGAATTATATCTCTCACAAACAGGTTATGGGACTTCATTCGAAAGAACTCATTTTGGATTTCAAACCCTCCTCAGTTATCTGAAGTCTAGTTATTCTTTCAGTCATTCTTCATGATGAAGGTACACAATTTTCATCTATCAATAATATTACTAGAACTATAAAGATCTGACATCTGGGAATTTTTTTTTTTTCTTTTTTGCCCAAACAGGTACAAGACCCACTTACAGGACAGCTTTTTACAATGTGTACATGTAACTGTGATCAATTACTGAAATCTAAGAGCCAAATAAAGTATTTTGATAAATCATTCAGTAGTTGTAGAAAGTGATTTCAATTGTAAATAATAATGATAATAAAAAAAAGAAAACGGAAGGAAACATAATAACATGTATTAATGAATAACATATGAATAAAGAAGGATTTTTTCATATTTGCCTCGTAAACATCACAAGGTAGAAAAAATATGTTTTATTTCCTTTTTGAACACTCCAATGGGAGTTGAAAATATATCAGTTTTTTCGCATATCTGATTGAACTTTTTGCACATCGAATGAATTGGAGATTTATATAATAGTATATTTGTTCTTGGAGTAGGTAAATAAAAACAAAGTGAACTTCTACTGTTCAAACGAGGTATGTTGAAATTTAGTTGAGA